GTGGCCGGGGCCGCACAGCGTGTGCAGAGGCTGTGGCAGCTGTCTGTTCTCTGCGTGTCGGCGTGGACGCCGGGCTCTGGGGCCACCAAGGAGTGGTTTTCATGCTGTACACAGACTTCAGGGAGCAAAGATAACTTGGCCCACGGCCCTTCCATGCCACCTTAAAACCCAGAGCAGCCACACCCAGGGGACCTTGGGAACCAGCTCCTGTCCCCTCACTGCCTCGAGCAGTCAGCACCCTCCACCCCTAGCAGTTCCCAGAGGCGGCCTGGACAGGGGACAGGGACCCACCCAGACGCCTGGCAGCATCAGAGCCACTTCTCAGGGCAGACCCTAGCTGCTTTACTGTGAATGGAGGACGTGGCTCAAGGCAAGGTTGGGCCAGCATCCCCAGAGCCCCCAAACAGCAACTGCCACCCCTCTGCAGGCGCCCCTGACTCCAGGTTTCTCTTTCAGTTCAACGATCTCGCCTCTCTGTCGCTGACGCTGCTTGACAAAGGTGGGTGTGTCTGCGGCTTTCCCGCCACAGCCCTCCCAGGAGGGTGGTACTCCTGGCCGTGGCCTGTCTGCCTCACCTCATGATGAGCAGGTGGAAATGGGGGCAGCCCCTGGGGGGTGAGGGCCCTGGGATCTGGCGTCCAGATAGTGGGTGAGGGCCCTGGGCAGCAGGCGCCACTGCAGACTGGCTCGGCTGGGGCTCAGAGTGCTGCCGGCCTCTGGGTAGCCGCTGCCCAGGGACCTCAGCACCAGGTCCGGACCAGGCAGCCTCTGGTCTCCTGCGCCCATGCCCAGCAGTAGAGTGGGACAGGCAGGCCAGAGGAGCCCCTGGGCCCCGTCCCTGCTCCACGCGGGTGGGAGGAGGACCCCAGAGGCCCCAGCCCTGTGGGGAGCAGGCCCCAGGCCTATCGGCCCTGGGGAAGAGAGGCACAGGGCAGAGGCTCTTTCGCCTGGCCCGACCTGGGGGCACCTCTGGGTGACCAGGTAGGTGGGAGAGGACAGGTCAGCCTGGAGCAGAGGCCAAGGTGGGGTCCACGGGCTGCCATGTGTCCTTAGTACCCTGCCTGGCGTGCCGGAGCAGCTCTTGGAACATGCGCTTCCGTCTCTCCCTCCCATGGCCTCCTGATGATGGACACTGACCCCACCCCTCCCTCCACAGACGACATGGGTGATGAGCAGCGCGGCAGCGAGGCGGGCCCGGATGCCCACAGCCTGGGCGAGCCCCTGGTGAAGCGGGAGCGCAGTGATCCCAACCACTCCCTGCAGGGCATCTAGCAGCCCCGGCCGGCTCCTCCGCCAGGTTCCAGAAGATGCCGCCCGGTCGCTCTGGGAACCTGGACTTCACCGGCTCCACCAAATTAGTGCCTCTTAGACGATGGATGTTTACTTTGACTCAAGCGGGGGCTCCCGGGGTCAGCGTGCCCTTGAAGGCCGAGAGAGTGTTCAAGAAGGAAAGCAGTCGTTGAAGCTACAGAAGCCTGGGCCGGGGCTCCCACTGACTGTAGCTGTGCTCTGGGTGCCAGGCCCCTGTACAGCCACTAGGGCCACACCAGACCATGGGTTCTTTGTTCTGGACAAACCTTCCTCTGCTGGAACTCCGGACTTTGGCCCCAGTCCCTTTAAGAGCTGAAGGGGCTGTGCTGAGAGCGCTGGCCCCTACACTCAACTGGAACCAATTTTCACCATGATTTAAAAATTTAAAAACCTGGCAGAGCCCGAATAGAAAGGGACGGCCTCTCCCCTCCTACCTGCCACCACTGGGGAGACACAGAGCTCGCCAGCATCCCTGGAGTCCCCTCAGGAATGGAAAGTGGAGTGCCCTTGTCTGGTAGCACCATATGGGAGGGACCCAGCTGGGTGCGGTGCCCTGTGGCCTTTTAGAGCCAGACCGCCCTGCCCCGATGCGCTGAGGCGGGAGGCCGGCCGTGCTGCAGGAACCCATCTCCAGATGCCAAAGGACTTGAGGGGCAGCTGACAATCGCTGTGTCCTGGACAGATCCGCAGCTTGAAAAAGAACAAGCCACAGAAACGGGCTCGCTCGTGCCAGGACAAAGCAGTGTCTTCCAAAAACTCAAAACCAGAAGTTCTGTCAGCACCAGGAAGGATCTGGGGCTCTGTCCAAGTTCACCATCACCATCAAGCCACTGGCTGTGGAAGGAGTTTGTCCAACAGGAACAGTGTCGCAGCCGCGACTTCGGAAAGCAGCCATCCCGCCTGTCGTCCAAACAGCAGTGCCTGCGTCCCGCTCCACGGAGTCTTCCAGAACACCTCCCTCTGAATTAATCCCGGAGCACCCCAACCCCCAGCGAGTCCCACCTTGTCCTCTTCAAAGTCAAAACTCTTCTCTGGGGACAAATATTCGGGACTTTCGAAGCCCCGAACTTGAGACACCGAGTTTGTCTCCATGGAGACACGTGGCCGCTGCAGTTGGACAGCTGCGTGCTGGAGTTTCTGCCCCCAAACCAACTGCAGAGAAGAAAGACGAGCCTCAGCCCAGGACACGCTTTCTAACGAAATGCAATAGTTTTCTCTTTTTGGAAAAATGTTTATACCAATAGTTTTGTGCTCTAATTGTTATTAGAATGTTTCTTATGAATGTGTACATTGCAGTATGTTCAGTCCCAAATGTTTTGTTCTCATTCACACAGAAGGTACTAATAGCTCACGTGGCCTTTAAAAACCTTACTTCCCCGCTTGCAGGAGCTCAGAGCAACGCTCGGCCTGCGCCCGAGCGGAGGGGCAGGCGGAGAAGGACGCGTGCTCACTTTAGAAACGAAAAGTCAGGAACAATCACTGTTTGTCTGGTCGTATAGCCCAAACCTTAGTTGAAATCCGACGGAAAGAATGTCTTTATACATCTCCTCTCCTTGGAGACACCGAAGCTCACAGTTAACAGATTGTAACGCCCGGCTTTTGCTCACTCCTGGTAACCAATACAAGCTGGTTTCTGCCTTAGGCTCCGGCCCGTCTTTCCGATCCACGAGGAGCAACAGAGGTGGCAGCAAAGCCACGAGCCTCTCAGGCCTGGTCTCGTTTTTCACAGCAGTAAACACTGAGCGTGCCCACTTTTGGACTCGCTGTCCACACTCCAGGCCCTGCCCCCCCTGCCCTGGGACACCAGCCTGCCAGGCTTGAACCACTCGAGACCCAGAGGAGAAGCCACAGAGGTGCCCCCCGCACTTGCCTGCAGGCTCCCTGGGGATGTTCTAGTGCCTTCCAAAAGGAGCGCGGGTCCCTCAGTTCCTTAGCAAGGCCCACCCTGAGCCAGTGATGGCACAGAAACACTTCTTTGTCCAGGATGGTCAGTGGCTCCTGTTTACACTTTGGGTTTTTTTTGTTTTTGTTTGTTTGTTTGTTGTTTGTTTAAGAGATGGTCTCATTCTATTACCCAGGCTGGAGTGCAGTGGCATTATCATAGCTCACTGCAGCCTCAACCTCTTGGGCTCAGGTGATCCTCCCACCTTAGCCTCCCCAAGTAGCTGAGACTATAGGCGGTGCCACCACATCCAGTTAATTTTTTTTTTTTTTTTTCTTTTTTTTTTAGCGATGGGGGTCTTCCTATGTTGCCCAGGCTGGACTCAAACTCCTCAGCTCAAGCGATCCTCTCACCTCGGCCTCCCAAAGTGCTGAGATTACAGGCGTGAGTCACCGGCCCGGCCTCCTGTTTGCATTTGTTACAGGCTAGACCCACTTGGATCTAGTGGAGAAGCAGGTGCACTGGTCTCGGATCCGAACCACTGGTTGTCCTCATGGTTTCCTTGGTACAGTTGGGGCCAAACTTCAGAATCATTGAGAATCAGTGCATGGGCTTGCTCAAAAAATTCCTGGACCCCATCCACAGGGAGCCTGACTCGGTGGGATTCGGGTAGGGGCCAGGAAGCGTGCTGTTGCTGCCATTCCCTCTCAGGGGACTGTGGTGCGGGGCTACAGGACTTTGAAGAAACTCTGCAGAGGACAGCAATGGGCTCAGGAACCCGGCAGGGCCCACCTGTGGGAGGGAGGTGGCCCACAAAGGCTAGTACAGTTCTCACTCAGCTGCCCCTAAATCTGTTTCCCGAGTGCCAGGCCAGTGCCCCGTATGCCCCCAGAGACACTCAGCCTTTGCCCCAGTCCAGGCCTCTCTGTCCCAGGCGACACTAGAATCGCCCCTCCCTTCCCTGGGCTGGGACTCCAGGACCCCACTGGGTCCTGACGGTGCCAACTTCAGCCAGGAAATCCACTCGCCCCATCCCCTGCTGGGTCACAATTTCAGACCTTCCTCCAGCTGAGACCCCTGAGTCAAATTAGGCAAGTACCAACTCCCCACCTCCCCAACCGCCGCAGAGCCAGGCCCGGTGTGGACTGCAGGGCCCAGAGCAGGAAACCCAAGCCCTGCCCACGGGGCCTGACAGGCTGGGGAAAGCGGGAGCTCAGAGCATGGGGGATGGTGCCCCAGGAAAGAGGAGCCCGCTTGAGCTCCTCAGGCCATCATGTGCCTCCAAAGCCCTCTGGGCAGGTCCCCAGGGTGCAGTTGCCTCAGAAAAAAAAGGGGAAACTTGGTTTTACCAAGCATCTCAAGGGGGTACTGGCCGTCATCACAGCAGCCTCCACGCTACACTTCTGTCCCGTCTCCTCTTTTTGATGACCTAAGGTAGAGGTAATCCCCACTGTACACGTGGGAAAAGCAAGGCTGCTGGTTGGAATGCTGATGTGATGGCTGGAGCACAGCAGCCACAGTGGACCTCAAGGTGGAAGCCCCATGATAAGGATGGGAAAGCAATGAGTCAGAGGAGGCTGGGTCCTCGGTGATGGTAGAGCTGCAATTACAGCCCTGACCTCCAGGCAGATGTCAGCAAGGAGGGGTGGGGAGCCCCAGAGATGTCCCTGCCTTCACAAACTGTCTGGTGGCAGGAACTCCAGTGCAAGATGGGAGGGGACCCCCACGCACTGCAGCTACCAGCATGCTAA